CTGTCAGTGCTTTGTCAAATAATAGTAAACCTTGTTTTAACAAATGAATTTTCTTAATTCCATTTTTTTAATACTAAAGGAAGGGCAACAATTATATCAACGTTTTATATGAGTTACATATACCTTCTTACATGTAGGTAGTCAAATACCTAGGAACTAAATAACACTGTAAAAAATTATAGGTGAAACAGCTAATTACTATGACGAAGGATAAACGTCCAAAATCCAGTAATGCAGTACCAATTGAAACCTGCTTTTTGATTGCTGCTTAAGTACAGCACCACTATTGTTAGGTTAGGTTTTGTTATATTGTTGGAAGACTTATCTATTGTTTGTCCATTGTTTTCTCAACCTATCATGAGACCCGTTCCGAGCGGTGCTACCTGGCTCCCAAAATGTCAAAAGTTTATCTTTTTACACAATTACTTCTCTAGAAACACCAACGCAGCTCACACTAGTTTACCTCTAGTTTCCACCATATAGAAAGTTGATAGGCCTGTCAATCAAACCAATACTTGTGGCTAATGACTGGCCACAGTAGATGTGTAGCACATTAAGGTTAGATATCACTTATTCTCAAAAGCTCTTTGACAGCCTTTATGCAAGTAGGTATTTAAATACWACAAATAATAATCAACTCAATATCAGAGCTACAATATAACCTTGAATTGTCACAGACAACATTTTATACTAAATGACTGTTGCAACTTTTGCTGTCAATCATTACTTTAAGATGCCAATCAAAGTGCATCATTCATATCGACCACTATTCTTTCACAATGCACTCGTTTTGATTGGCTGGGCTTTAGCAGCCAATTTTTACATGTCTTGGCATCTWCGTACTACATTTTGATTTATATGTCAGACACTGTCCAACATTTTTGGAAGTTGCACTAASAGATCTACATAATCCAGCAATTTTTAGTTATATTATACTTTATGATACTGCACTCACTGATGAAGAAATTCAATTGGGGAATTCATGAAAAAAACCTTTTAAGACACCATTTCGCAGATAATTTGAAATTTTACATTACGTTGTTATGGTAAATCATTGACATCACTGGAAAGAGCTTCATAAAATCAGCAAATATGCTAAGTTTGAAAATAATCTGATTAAAATTCAAAGAGATATGGCACTTCAAAAACACTAAATTTTGCATAGAAATGTTTGGCGAGGTTGTAAAAAGTCAAGGTCAACCCCGATCTCATGCCAACAGCCCATACATTTCTTTGTAAATTTTGCCGACTTTTAAACGCTGTATCTCCTTGAATTTTCATCGAATCATGCTCAAACCTGGTAAACATACTAATTTTATATAATACTGTTCTTTCCAGTGGTGGTAATAGTTTTTCTATATTTGCTCAATTTCTAATAGCTGTGTTATCTGCGAAGTGGACTATTAAAATTCCACAAGAGCGAAGAATAAGTTGTATAAATCGAGCCATTTTCATAAAACACAAAGTCATTGTGTATTTTTTCATCACTTCTACAGAAACTGTGAGTCTCTGACAAACACAAACACACAGCCTCAACACACTCTATATTAGTGCACATGCATAATCACACAGATTAAGAGGAAATTCAGCCRATCAGAAAACAATATTTTAAGGAGATATGATTATTTAGTTTTTTATATAGTCATATTTTGAATAAATAAGTGTATTGGCTTTTGCTACAGCATGATAGGAACAATATAATAKTATGTCATGCTCTGCAGGCTGTCAATAACAACTATATTATGTTACCTAATATATTCTTCACATGCTTAGCTTCAACCAACATATTAAATTGTTCCTAATAATATCTGGTGTACGTTGTTGTTGCATGGATCTGGTATATTGCCGTACTAWATTTGTTCATATTATTGTCTTTCTTGTCATGATACCTGGATAGTTTCCTCTTTTCTTTTTGTCACCCAGCTTTGGAAAACATTTCTAAAAATAAATATTATTATTATAATCATTACCTTTTAATATCAAGATCTCTTATCTAAATTATGAAATACCTATAGACCTTGCATGTGACGTTAAAAAAGCTTYATCTGGAGTTGACAAAACAAAAGATTTTTGCCCTTTTGGGAACTAGAAYCCATTGTTTCATCCTCCAGTTAGAGCTGTATTCCCACAAACTGCAAGGGGTCTATATTTCTTACTTCATCTCTCCATGCCTCCATATAATATCCTCTAAGTAACTTGTATTTTCTCTTATTTTACTTTCCATTCRTTATGTATACTTTTATTTTCACACTGACACATAAAAGTATGGCCGCAAATATAAAAACAGTATTTGCCTAGATCGAATTAGCATCATAAATCCCAGACAACATAACATAATTCAACAATAATGGTTATTTGATTAAATACACCTAATTGAAGAAACGTTGTCGGGTCCAAAAAGGTCTAATCATAGAAGCTAAGACCGAAAAGATACTTGGGAAGACAAAAAATTTGGCTAATTTCATACTAACAGCTCTCCAGCATAAAAGACTAGCATGCTGTTAATCTTACTAGCTCTAGTTGCTTAACCATGCACCATGTTAAACACCGTATATGCAAATGTAATCCCAATTTAGTGGTACTCAAAATCCCTTTCGGTCTTAGCTTCTATAATGTGACCTTTCCGAACACGACTACGTTTTTTTCAATTAGGTGTACATCTAACACTGAATAACTCACTTGCAATGGCTGACAATGCATTCATTACTGCAGTACTGTGTTCCTCTCTCCTTGGTTGTTCTTGCAGGCATATTGCAGCCATCTCTGATGCATATTCTTTGACTGATTGGGTTGAATGATACTTTAGCCTTCTAAAAAAAAATAATGGAAAATTATAAAATGAACAGACAGGAACAAAATGTCAGGGGCTGGTTGTAAAGAGGGTACATGTAAATTCAACAGATACTAAATAATTAACTGGCAAATAACTGGTAAACAGTGCAAGGTGCTTAGAGCAAGTCTACCCTTTAAGAAGTGAAAGTCTACCTTTACATCAAGAACATTACAAACAAAGGCAAGTGTTGAACTCAAGAAAAAATATCAAATGCTTGGATAGACTTAGGGCTGCAGAAAAATTAAATTACTTTTAGGTAGACTCTGATTAGTTGTTGTTGTTGTTTTTTGTTGTTGTTTTTTTTACACAAGTACCATTCCAATTTTTTTTTATAATCTTAATTTCTGAACAATAAAATGATGGGGTAGTTATCCACCCTTATCAAACCCAGATCCACCCTTACTTTTAGCTGGTATTTYATACTTTCTTACCTTTTTCACAGGTGGAGAGAAAGTAGAAGCCCCTGACACAGCAGTCTTACTACTGGCACCTGTGGCTGCACTTTTTGGGATTTTAGTAGATAAATCTGGTTTATTTAACACAGCTTTTGGTATTTTTAGAGTAATGCTTTCCTGTTTTATCGGTTCTTTTGTTGATGTTGTAGATGCAGGGGTCGCTGCTGAAGGTAGTGATGATTTTGGCGATGAAAGAGGTGATGCTGAAGATGTTTCTAGCTTTCGAAACTTTGGACTTGGTTCCTACATAATTAATTAATTAATACTAATTAAAGCCTGCAGTACTTGTAATGGACACAAATTATGAAATAATGTAGAATGGAGACCAGCTTTGTATTGGATGACTGTGCATGCAAAAACAAGTGCTGTATGCAAATGCAAAATTTTATGATCGTGCAGTGTTGTGTCAGTGCTCTGTTGTTAGACAACTGAACAAAATTCTTGGCTCTATGTATGCAAAAACTACAGCCCTGCTGTACTGTGTAGTCAAAATCTTTTCTCATTTCTCTTCTTAAGTTTCATAGGCCTCAKTGTGGTCTAGGTTCAGTACAAACATCTTTAATTTGCTCATGTGTCCAAATATGGAGTTGTTTGTGCTAAAGCTAGACCACAATGCACTATGATTTTGAATTTCAGAAAAGGTCTATGGCCAAGCTGTTAAAATTAATATATTATTATTTGTTGTTCAGTCGTATCTGAACATAATCTGTTCATTTACCACAAAATAAGCATCTAAATGACACAGCTTCAGCATTGAATACCTGTTTTAATTGTTTTTCAAGTGCTTTCTCGTGGTCCTTTTTGGCTTTCTCATGCTTGGCATAATAAACCTGATAAACACAATAAAATTTCATCAATAAATGATGGTGAGAATGCACAGCATGTTTTTCACTAGTGAAATAAGCAGAGATGAATGAAGAAGTCATTTACAGAAGCAGTGCAGGAAAGAGATGATTTTTTTTTTATTTACACTGTATTGATACAGGTAAGCACGCTTTCTTATACCATCACCTTCTGAATCTCTGCTTTTATATGTACTATAGTGAAAATATGCCTTAACTTTAATTAAAATAACTAAATAATTAATTAATCGTATGAGGAAGTGGCTGATCCCATTAAAGAGTGCTCAATACACATAAAGTTTAATACTGTCTGATGAGTGTATAGCACGAAACTCGGAGTTACAGCAAAATCTTGCCTCTTTGATATCACATATAAATAATTAATTTAATAACTTTAATAAGTCCACACCAAGATCAAATCAAATGGGAAATAGAATTTTACCTTTTTCTGGTCTTCTGGGAGGTTATCCCACATTTGAGTAATGATTTTTGAAACATTGTCAAAATCAATCTAAAATCAAAAATATTGTTAAAAATCATCGATTTGGAAATCAAACATGTACAACAGAGAAAAACTTACATTTGGTTTTTGCTGCCTGATAGCAGCTTGAGTCTCCTTGAAGAATATTTGAAAGGCAGGTAGTGGCCTAGCATCAAAGAAAAAAAAACGTCAAATAAATAAATGTTATAATATAACACATACTAAGCCTACATGTGCTTTGCTTACATTATAATTTTATTCCTATTGTGGGAGGATGGGAAAACCCTTGATTTGTTTTTTTGGCATTTGATGTCCCAGAAACTGAAGATTAACAACATTAATTCAAATTAAATTACTTACTTTTCACTGCTGCTTTTCTCTTTCTTTTTTCTCTTTTCTGCTTTCTTCTTTTTCTTTTTCTTCTTTTCCTCTACATTTGACTTCCTGAGTGTTTCAGCCAGTACAGCCAACGGCGTATCACTGTCATCACTGTCCCCAGCCAAAGCAGGGGTAGTTKTCGGTGTAGTTGATGAACTCGTAGCTGGAGTAGTCTTAGTAGCAGTGGTTGACACAGTTGATGTTAATGGATGTGTGGTGATAAYACTGCTTGCTGATTGGCTAAGTCCAGGTGCTGATACCAAGTGATCAACGCAAGTAGATTCATTCACAAAGGTTATCCGTGTTGTGTCCACACTTTGTGTTATAAGATTTGATGCACCAGTACCGTGAGCTAAACTAGCCTGCCTATTATCAGCAACAGGCTGTCTTTGATTGGCAATATTAAGTGAAACATTGTTGTCCTTACCAACAGCTTTAACTACAGAAGTCATTGCCTGCATCGGACTTTGATGCAAAGTGGATGAAAAGGAAACATTTTGTTGTACAGGAATCGAAGATGTTTTTGTATTCTTTGTAAAAACAGAGTTAACATTCGAAGGTAGGACAGAAGTATTACTATTAGAAGCATTTACTGTCTTTAAAACATTATTCCCACTAGAAACATTATTTGTACTCAACACAACCATTTTAACTTGCTGTCCTTGAGTGTTTGTGGCAGGTTGATTATTATTATTGCTACCGTTTGGTTTGGGAAGAATGTAACAGATCACTTGTCCTTGTGAGGTATTAATAGTCATTGGTTTACCAGCAGGTTGGGTTCCACTGCCCTGACCTGCCTTTACAAACATTGCCTGTTTCAACAAATCAAGTCCAGCAGCATTCTGTGGCAGTTTGACTGCCTGTAATTGTTGTCCTGCTCCTTGCTTGAGTTGAAATGGAATAACGTTTGTTCCTTTCAGGGCAGTAAGCCCACGAAGCACAGTTGCTGTATCGAATGTTGACACAGGTTGTCCAGCTGTATTACYAGTTGTTTGTGGTAGTGTAGCAGTGTTTGCTTGCATGGGCTGTTGAGTTGGTGTTCCAGGTGATAATGTAGTTCCTTGTGATGCAGCACCAGCTTTTCTTAGCATGAACTGACTCTGTGACCAGACACTATTCTGAACATTAGGTCCYGCTGGTTGATTTGCAGCACTTGCTGAAGCACTTGCTTTACTAACATTGGCTCTTGTATTCCCAGGGTTTTGAATATTTCCCACCTTAGTGGCAGAAACCTTTGCTTGGTTCACCTGTGTCATATAGTTTTGAGGAACCCCTTGAGTTTGTGAGAAGTCTTGTTGAGTAACAGGGTTACCTGCAATTGGAGACCCAATACCTCCAGGGGAAGCCTGCCTGGATGACCTCTGACTCTGAGGAGATGGTGTATTCAAAGGTGATGCTACAGGAGAGTGCTGCATCCCAATACTTCCAATAACCTGTGAAGCCATATTCTGTATACCTCCAGATGACATTGGAGATACCTGAGACATTGGCGACGAAACATTCTGGGGCATCACTGGATTGGCTGATGCAGGAGGGCTTTGAGCACTAGGTTGCTGGGGACTTCTCTGYGGAGCATTCTGGGGACTTCTCTGGGGTGCAGATCTTGGACTATGAGCCACACCCATGGGGGAATGTGGCTGCTGTTGAGTTGCCATGTTAACAGTTTTCTTGGTATTTCCTCGGCCACTTCTCAAAGGGACTGCCTTATACTGCTGCATCTGGGGACTTGGTGCCTTTCCAATAATTGGGCTTGCAGGGTTCTGAGATAATGGACTGTGTGCATGAGAAATATTGCCCCCTGACACTGGTCCAGTTACAGGCAATGGACTACCTGTGGAAATTGATGATGAACTCCTGGCCATTACTGGAATTTGGTTTGGATTACTTGACGTTAAGTTCGTGGCTACATGTGCTGCACTTGGTGCCATGACATGATGGATTGCCTGGTGTTGACCACCCAATGCAACGTCATGGGTTGAAAACACCACAGTATCCCCAACACCCTGCGGCATGTCCCTATCAACAATATCCTCAATTAACTGATCAATTGACGAGCCATCTCCTTCCTCGTTATCTAAATCAGTATTCAATGGTTCGTCAACATTACTGATATTTGCAGGTAGTGCGCTTTGGCTAAACCTTTGCATTCCATTGTGTAACGTTGGGTGTCTTGTTATAGAATGACCCAATTGAGGGGGTGCACTGACTACATGTTGCGTACCTAAATGCTGTTCGTGACCAGGAATGAAATTCAAAACTTGAGATCCTGATGTAGGGTGGGGTCTTTGATGACTAATTGACGGCACATCAAAATTTTCTGAAGGAAATGCAGGTTGAACTTCACGTGGAGCATCTTGAATTGGTCTAGAGCGTGTCAGTTCTTGGCGAATGTCACTTAACATGTAACTAGCATCTTGAGGGAATACTGGATTAAGCACAGAGCTGGATGACTGTAAGATAAAAAAAAGGGAAGAGTTTACAATGTTTGAGATTGTCACGGTCTGGCATGTATGCACAGATTATTATACTGAGCAGATGATCTGCAACTAAAACGTCACTCTTGTGAACACTATCAGACTTATTCCACAAAATGGAGAGGGAAATCAGTGCTTTAGTCTCTTTTTGACTTTTTCATGGGAGAAAGKGAAAGAGGGAAAAATTCTGATCAACTTTTTATGGGGGGAGGTATGACAGGAGCATGTATTTTGATGGAATTCATCTGTTTATTGAGTCATGATACCTGTGATAAAGGCCTTGTAATGGTTGAGCTTTGATCCCTTTGCGGCTGCTGATGAGGGGTTATTACTTGATTRTTTAATATCATAGTCCGACCTCGGCTTGCYTGAGGTTGTGTGCCATGTCCAGGTGGCARTACTGAGGCAGTGCAGGTGATCGGAAGCTCACTTGGTAAATCAAGTTCAGGGAGGTGTTGGATATCAAGGTTCTGTGAAAATATAACAAATCAACTGTTATTTTCTACTAAAGAATATGGTGTAGTCAGTCTTCATAAAGACAAGTTGTCCAACAAAACCTATGATTGTTCTTATCCTCAGGAACCTATGATYCAGTTAAATTCTGGTAACTTTTATGTGAACACATCATTTATGGCAAAAAAATCCAAATCCTAACAAATTCTTTTGAACTTCAAAGCCACAATGCAATGAATTCTGCTGTACGAAGTACATCCATCCATTGTATTGTTAATTGAATCTGCAGATGAAAACACCATGAAGACATGATTAAACAGAACTCAGCTGTGCCTCGTGTTTTTAACCCATGTCTTGGCGTTTTCATGAAATGTTTTTACRTATTGTGAAATACAGTATTAGATCCAAAAGGAAAGCAAACTTAAACAGATTTTCTCTAATAYCATTTAGCCAAGAATTTTGTATGACATAAAAAAATGAAATAAACTTTAAATAAATCGACTAAATTACTTCACTGCATTTTCTTTTTTTTAATGCATAGATAGATGTCTGGAGCTTTGAACGCCATCCATTTGTTTTTGACTATTAAGTCAATTGTCATTTTCAATGGAGAGTCAAATGAAAACTATAAACAGACATAATACACTTAAAGYAACTGCAGAGATTAAAATGCTTATCAATAAAACAATTCAAAATTTAAAATAAGCAAAGATAAATATTACATGAACTACATGAAATGAAAAAAAAAGAAAAGTCGAGATGCTTGCTTTCTTTTTGCTGTTATTGTTTTGAAGCAATTTTCAAGAGCTATTTATATCATATTATAAAAACTCAAAAACAAAACTTCCTTTAACAATTTCAATCTGAGTATTTTAGGAAATAACAAAGATGGAAAACATTTTTTGGACATGAGTTAAGCTATTTAAAAAAAAGTAAAAATGYAATGAATACATTACAAAGAGATCTTTGACATTTTAAAATCTACTGTTTATTTATTTATTTGTTTCTGAAAATTTCCCCAATCAAAAAATGTTTGATCGCTTGAAAAGACCGACATGACCATATATGGTAATACAGTACAATAAACGCTCTATCCAAAAMTAAACTCCTTTGCGCGTTTGAAATCACTTWTACATAAGACGTGTCGATGGAAAACTACATACAGCACATCTACCGTAAATAATAAGAAATTTCTACAATGAAATATTCAAGATTTGTGTATTTTTTTCAGTCCTTCCAAGAACAAAGGGAAAATATGCTAATTTCCTTGACAGACTAGAAGTGAAAACGTGATCTACAAGCTAAATTCTAGGCCATTCTATRCRGCGAAAATAGAATAAACTTACAAAATGTTTTATATTAATGTTCCCCAAAACCWCTTCGAGATAAAGACCACCTTTTGTCTGAGMAACAATAATTGSACACATTAAATTTCACCAAAATATCAAATTTATCGCTAAGTTCCYCTAGGTGTCAGTCAAAGCGATAACCGGTTGCGTTTTCATTTCGTTTTCGTGCTTCGAAACGAATAAGCTACATGTACAAAACCACGAATTAGTTCTTTGACGTTAACATACAATACTCTTTTTTGACACAGATATATATATACAAAATTGCGACATCATGCCCGAGGTGCAAAATGTAAAAACAATTCCGGTGTATTGAAAATATTTATGAATTTCCGAAGACAGCCCCTTGATGGCTTCAAGATGGGCCTCAAAACTCCTCCAAGTATCGCGGGAAAAGCTTTACCGGTCTCAATACGCTGTGGTATTTACAAAACCAGAAAAATCYTAAAATCGCCATTCTTATTTGCCGACTGAGCCCACATCTCATTTGCATATCATATTTGAACACTTGAAAGCATTCCTTTGAGKCGACCTCGTTCACCTGGTACAGTCCATCTCAACGCKTTTGACTGACAAAATCGGACAAATATCTAGTTTGTCCTTATAGGAATTCAATGTAGCCATTGAGCCCGATACTGGACTCCAGAAAGCCATACAGCTTTTCATTCAAAGAGCGTCATTTCTGTGGGCACTCTGGCTCTTGTAGTTGAAGAGCACACTGCCCGTTTATCAACGATTCTGTGGATTTTTTCTCGGGCAAAAGGTGGCCGATTTCGCTTCGAAATAACCCTGAATACTTAATCTAACAGACCTTTGAAGCGTAATTGTGTTCTTCCCAATTTATAACTTGCTCTATATCAAAATCGTCGAGATTATTCGACTCCTGATCGGTCGCCATTACACAGCTTTGTCGAGCTGAACACCGAGATGCGCATGTCCATTGAAGTCCGCAACCATTATTCTGAGCCCGCGATTCTAAATAGCCTCGTTCCTGTGTTTTAGACCTAAATGTCACTCGATCCAGACCCCCATGGTTGTCAAATCTCGCGTACCGGAAGTGATTTTCCGGCATTTTGAAAACAATATTATCCAGATTTACTACGATAACCGGCATATGACTCTCTGGTTGAACTGATGGATTCTTTAACAATACCACGATCTTTGTGAGATGGATGTATATAAAGCGATARGTTTCCGCCGACGCGATTCTCTTGTGACGCAATGGCACTGCGTGGTACCGTCAACAAAGCTAATTTGAATCCTTCTAGATATATTTCTGTCATTTTTTCCCTTTTTTAAACTCTAACTTGGCACTTTACAATTTTTAATAGTGGTTCTGTATGTGGTCTGATCAGTTCAAATTATAATCACGCAGAGAATCGTGTTAATCGTTTTTAATCATACGTCGATTTGTGACGCTCGTGCGTCCCCCGTTTTAGTCATAGTTCATGACGTAGAACACCGATTAAACGCCAAACAATCCTTAAAGAGCATTATTGACCATATTCTGCTCTGCTCCTGTACCGCTATAGTTTTCCGCGGTGTAAAAAAATATTTTTAATTTTTCTAAATAATCCCGCGAATCAAATAACAAATATCCCATAACAGTTTTTTTTTTCTAAAAATGGATTTTGCTGTCTTGGTGCATCCCGAAAATCGACGACATTGATACACTAGAAATATGCAAGGAAAAACGTCTGAGAATCAAACGAAACCATCATGCTTAGCAAGCCGCCTTCGCCAACATTTCCGTTGTTTCCCAAATACTGCACCTTGAATTTCATCATTTACTATACTAATGACGTCAAGACTCTACATAAAAATGTATTTTATTTCACAAGACATCTTTTTCTTCTMTATATAAATTACAACTATGTTAACRGATAATAATAAACTTTTAAATTAACCAATAAACTTTAAATTAACATCTAAGTGAATTTTATTTTGTATGATAGAGTGAAGTCACAAAATATAGATATTTCACTTATGTAAACCTTATAATGATTTCTTAACATATTGTTGTTGTTTTTGTGTGTGTGTCAATTTGACAATCACTTTTTTCTGCGGATTAAATGACTTCAAAATAAATTTGTGAAAAGAATCAAATAATTTGATTCGTATTAAAGGAATTAAACAAAACAAAAAAAATGAAAATCGAATAAGTTGACAGCGTGCTCTAGATATTCATCTTGATTTGKTGTCAGAAGTGGAAGAAAGCCAGCGGAAATGATCTTCTGTTAATAACTTCTGTCTACTCATAATCATAATTCATCGCGTTTCTGCGGAAGATAAGAAAAAAAATATACAATTCTTATTACAATAAAAATATTTTATTTTAATTTAAATTAATTTTAATTTAAATTTTTATTATAATAAAAATAATGCGATATAATCTAAAATTAAAGTTTGTACGACGAAAGATTAGGCCGTTAGTCCCGAAACCGTAGTATTGCCCATATGTTTTGGCAATTTAATTAGCAAATAATTCTACAGAAATACTACGTAGGATTCACTATAAGCTGCGTTTTTTTATCAGTAAATTGAAACCCCAGCCCCACAACCCCCAATGCCAACGACCGAGGGAATTAACACATTATTCTTTGTTTTCAAGTTAAGTCAGAGAGGCCATCTTGGAGGAACTTCAACAAAAGTATTTCTCATTAGTGTTTGATGTTCATTCCTCCAACATGGCCACAGGTCAACTCTTTTATCTTTTGAATCTCATGGAAATGGTTGCAAACGATTAATAGCCAGGAATTTATTATGGTTTCAACAACAATCAGTACACTGGAACGCAGGGGAATTATCATCTACATTTAAGGGGTCAAAATGTTAATTGTAAACGCCATATTTACGAAAACAGTCATTGTTTTCTTTTTAAGAAGGCCTTAGTTTTGGTGATTTTGTGTAAACGACAGGCCTAAAGGCTTGAAAATAAAATCCAGAAACGTGTGGACGTAGCCATAATAAGTGAATAAGCCATATGCGTTATAGCATACATTTAGCTAGTTTAGCATATAAGGGTTAGTATATATAACGTTTCTTTTTTTGACAATCTATAAATGGCCCTCTATTGAGCGCCATCAAACAGTCACTTATAGGAGCAGGTTAACACTACGACGCAAACACAAGCGGATGCTGGTTCACACTTGACATAAGTATGATTATTATTCTCTGACATTTAYTGACAGTGATAACTTTTTAAAACAAACAGAAGGACAAAAACGTTTGATGAATAATGAYATTCCCTATAAGAATAGAAACGTTTTGTTAAACAAAACAGTAAAAAAAATGTTAAAAAAGATTTTCAAGTAATAAAAATATAGAATCGAAGCTACAAAAGTGTTTGAAATTAGAGTTATAGTCGCTTAGGGTTAGTGTCATATAATCGTCTGAATCGCCACAATCGCTCAAAAACGCCTTTATCATATGATTATCTATGAAATACCTATATTTCTCTTTTTCGAAAAGTTCTAATATTCACTAGTGAAAATACCAGGAAGCACAAAAGGGTAACTACTGCAGGTGCTCGCCTACGACAGCAGTTGAAACCGCACTCACGTTTCCGTTCGAGGAGTAAAATCAATACCCAGCGAAAACGTGATGTCCGAAGGAAGTAAAATTAGAAGGACATAAGTGTCAATTTTTAAAAGCATTGTTTGACGTTTGTTGTCAAAAGTATAYCAACATGGTCAATATTTTTATAAGAACAACAGCAAAAATAGAAATACAATTAAAAACGTGCTTGTGACACTCTCGTGGAAAAAAACTGGCAAAAGGGTTGAGTTTTAAAACATAAATTCAATAATTTGAAAGAGTCAAGGAAAGATGTGCRAGATTCTAGAAATTTTGATATTTAGTGCTAAAGGTCTGTCAAAATTTTATCTAAAWAATTTGTGGAAACTTTCACATCTATTCGACGTATATTTCTTCATAATAGAACTCATGTAAAGAAATAAAAGATAACTAAAAAAGTGGATAATTATGACATTGCATGTGTAAACAAAGGATAATAATTCATTACCTTAAATATTTGTAATTCATTGAAATATAATACTGATTTTTATTTCT